CTCCTGCCTTGGGGGTCCAGGCAGAGGGGAGCAGGGCCAAACAGGCTCCTCACAGCATTGCTTGTGCCCCCTGCTCGGAGTGTGGTTGTGTACTTTCTAGGCCTCTGGCTGTGGCAATTGTGTCTGGGTGCTGGGCGGGCGCCAGGTGCAGTGCTGTCTTCACAGCATTCCTGAAAACCTATGACAATTTTAGAATGAACTCTTATTAGAAACACATGTCTCCCAAGCAGACTCAATGAAAATACAACAAGATTTTTTTCCCATCTAAAAAAAAGTCTTTCTCAAGACACAGTCTCTTCAGATCAAAGGGCATGGCGGGAGGGCTGCATCTGGGCCAGTAACTGGGGGAGGCCTTCAGGAGACCACAAGCCGTAACAGGAGGAGCCTGCTGTGGCCTGGTGCTGAGCTGGGCATGGGACCCTCCACACCCTCCACCTTCCCCCTCCAAGGAAGAAGCTGTGGGGCCGACAGCAGTGCCATCATCACCCTGTGGCTGGAACTCACCAGAGGCTCTGGAGGCAAGCTAGGTGGGGGTGCCCTGAGAGGACCCTACCACACTCCCACCCATGTCCTTGAGGTGGGGGCAATGGCAGGCGAATTGGGGGCTCTTGGCAGCAGACCCCGTGGTCCCTAGTGGTGTCTTCTGGAACACACATGAGCAAAGTGTCAGGTTCCACTGGCCCTGGGAGCAAGGCCAGCCCTCAGGAAGGGACTGAACTCTGATGCCACTGCAGAGCCTGTGACACTGTCCTGGGCCTGAGGTCCCTCAGCAATCTGAGGCAGGTTCACGCAGAGGAAACTGAGGCTATTTGGGGAAGACCCAGCCTGAGGTGGACATGCACACAGGCAGTGCTCCCTCCAGCTGGGCCCAGGTGGTGGCCCTGGGGCAGTGGTGAGCCAGCCTTCTTGTCAGGGTCACCGGCGGTAGCGGTAGCGTTTGAAGTGAAACCAGAGCTGGAAGATGCCGTTGGCAAACTGGCAACGGAAGCCATGGCGGTGCGAGTATTCCCACTCGCGGTTGACGATCTTGAAGGCGATGTCCTCGTAGGGTGGCCCAGCATGGAAACGCAGGATGGCGAAGTCCTTGTTGTCCGCGCAGGCTTCCAGGAAGTACTCAGGCGTGGAGCGCTTGTCGATGAGGTCGGGGTAGAAGATGTTGAACTTGTAGCCCTGCACGATCTTGGGGGGTGGGTTGTCAAAGTCGTAGTGCGTCTGGTTGTACTTGTTCCACTCGAAGCCTGTGTGCACGCGGTTGAAGAAGCGTGGCTTGCGTGGCCGGTACTTGTCGGCCCACAGGTAGGCCTTGCCAGTCAGAGGCATCTCCACGCTGAACTGCGCCTCGTCCTGGCCCATGCCCTCCTTCGCCCGCCGGAAGAAGATGTCTTCTGCACTCTCACTCGCGTCGCCTGTGGGCGGGGGCTGCGTTAGCCAGGGCTCCCTCCCGGGCTCTCAGGCCTTACACAGAAGGGAACACAGGGTTTCCTGGCCCCTCCTGGTCTCCTTGACTCCACCCCATCCCTCCTGGCTCAGCACCCAGGCCTCCATACCTGTGACCTGGAGCTGCTGGCGTGACAGCTGCAGGCGCTGCAGGTCCTCGTCGGGCTCCAGCACGTGCACGTCCAGTGGCAGCTCGTGCGCGGTAAGCAGCCGTGGGCTATAGCGGCCGGCATCATAGTCGTCCAGGCTCTGCTGGATCAGGTCCTCCTCCATGAGCACTGCCTCACCGTCACCATCACCCTCTCCCTCACCTGCTGCAGTCCCGTCTGCCTCAGGCTCCACAGGACCTCCCTCCATTGAGGGGGCTGGCAGGGGAACTGGTTCCTCGGGCTCCAGGCTGCAGAAAGCCAGGGTGAGTGGATGCAGGGTAGGGATGGCAGCCCTGTTCTGTGCCTTCCACTCTGCCTACCTGTGGCCCGGGGACGCAGGCTCCTGCTTGAGGATGGGGAACAGCGGCTCGCTCTCCACACCCTGCTCCTGCTTCAGTTTGTACAGCTTCTGCCGCAACACGTCCTGGTGGCGCTCGCGCAGCCTATATCACGACACAAGCCACGGCTCGCTGGGAGGGAACGGCCTGGCCTGAGTCCCCATGGGCATTGCCCTGTCCCTGCTCCAGCCAGCCTTGTGGCTTTTGGCCACAAGGACAATGTGATTGAGGGACCCCTGAGCCCAGTCCCTTGGAGGCGGGGCAGGTCCCTATCCCAGGCATACATGGGGTTGGAGACATGACCCAAACAGCCATAGCTGGGGTCACTGGAGGGGAGGCTGCAGCAGGACACTAAGCAGACAAGGATGAGGACAATTTAGAGACATAGACAAAGTCACAATGGCAAACAAGGCCTGGGTGCAGCATAGCTGCTGTGTTTATGCACCGAAGCCAAGCATGCTGAGAATCTGTAAACAGTCCCACACTCGGGGAGGGGCTGGTGGCTGGGGCTTCTGGGACACTGTAACCCCAGAGAAACAAAGGAGGGGAGCAGAGTGGCCAGGTACTTGTTAAAGGCAGGAAGCAAGACAGGCGGCCGCTGCCTCCTGGGGTGGTGACTCACCTGGCCCGGGCCATGTGTGCGCGCAGTTGCTGCAGCAGGCTCTCCCAGTAGCCCATGTCTAGGTTGGGGCCGCCGGCCCGGATCTTGCCCTCAATGCCCTGGAAGATGACCTGCAGCTGGTTGTACGTCTTGCCCTTGAACACTGACTGCACGTCTGAGCTGACTGACGCGTTGACTCCCTCTCGGTGCTCACCTGCACAGGGCAGGACTGATTGGTGCAGGCAGGGGTCCTAGACCCTGACCCCTGTGCTGGATGGAGACAGGATGCAGACCCTAGCCCTAGGAAGGCCAGCATGGTTCTGACCCCTCTGCAGGTGAGTGTGACACTGGGTCTAAGAATCTCTCTGAGTACCCTGGTTAGTGGCCCTGGCCTGCATAGCAGAGCCGTATGAAAGGCTAGAAGGATATGCTTTGCAGGCAGACCTGGGAACTCAGAAGGTAAATTTGAAGTGTGACCCTGGGCAAGTGCTCACCCTCTCTGGGCCTTGCTTACCTTCGTGCAGCCTGAGCTTTGCAACCTAAGCAGGGAGAGCTGCTCAGGTTCCCCAGGGCTGTTGACAGCCTGGGAACACGTTGATGCCACCCCAGGACAAGTCCCTCCCCTCTATACTGAGAGGCCCCTGGGGAACAAGATGCAAATAAGCCCAGTAAGCCCAGCCCTGCACTGCCCCACCAGTGCTCTAGTATGGCCATCTGGTGGCCAAAGGGCTGTCCTTAGGGCACTGCAGCACACTCTCTGGCCTTGCAGGTACCCTGTCCTCACTGCCAGCGCACATGGGCCTAGTCCCACCTCTGAGCTTCACTAGGTTCCTCCACAATGCTCCATCTTGCATGCCATTTGCTGCACATCCCACACCTCAGCGCCCAGGGACCACACCTTCCCCTCACTCCCTACCTCGATAGATGGCAGGGGCCTCCTGTCTGCGCAGTGACACATACTTCTGGGGCAGCGCTGCCAGGTTCTGTGGTTTCCTGGCACTGTGCTAGGCCTCAGGGGCCAGGACATAGCTGATGGGTAGGCCTGGGGTTGGTGACCAGTCCCTGCTCCCAGGCTGGCCACTCCCACCTGGGGTGGCGGTAGAGGTTCCAGAAGCCACAGGAGCCAGGACAGGATGGGGAACACCTTTCTGCCAACAGCCCAGGACCCTGGGGTCAGCAGTAGAGATGTGGCCCCTCTGCTGGGTACCCCCAGGAGGAAACCAGCTCTGCCACTCGGGAGTGTGAGTGACCTTGGAACCCACCAGTAAGCCCCTGCTTGGTTGCTCCCATGAAGTCAGGTGAGTGAGGTTCACACAAAGCCAGGCCTGCTTATGCCACCTGGGGTACCCACTGCTGACCCTAGCAGCTTGCCCTTGAAGGGAGGCTTTGCCAGGCTATGCATCTCCCACCAGACCCTGAGGTCACAGTAGGCATGGCTCAGGTTACCTGGCCCCTTGCCCGAGGCCTCCAGCTTGCGGAGTTTGGCGATCTCGTCCTCAGTGATGATGGTCATGTCCCGCCAGAAGTCCACATTCTTGCCCTGCTCCAGCTCCATGTACACCTGCGCAGGCCGGACATAGGCAAGGTGGGGCAGGGCACGTTGGCTGGGGCAGACAGGCTGTGGGGAGGGCGGGCAGCTGTTACCTGAATGTCCTCCAGTAGGTCCTCCATATCAGCCACAGTAAGGCCATTGAGGAAGGTGTAGGGCTCGTGCATCTCCACGGCCAGGTCGTCGTCCTCGGCACTGATGTACTTGGCCAGCAGGTCAATAGGCTTGGCTCGCCCATCCCGGATGCGGATCTTGGAGCTGCCAGGGCACAAGGGCAGTGGTGTCAGAGCCCGATGTGCTCCCCTTCCTGAGCACCTGCCTTCGGGGGCAGCACACTGTGGGGCCAAGGTAGGAGCCTGGTCCCGAGCGGTGGTCAGGGAAACTTTCATTTGAGAAGTGGGCACAAACCATGAGGGTGGGGACAGTGGAAGGGCAGTCAGAAGCCTCCAGGGGGGCAGCTGTCTGGGCTGCAGAGGGGCTGAGGGGCATAGCTTCTGCCTGGTGCCCAGGAGGACACATGCCAAAGTGATCATGGGGCAACCCAAGGGCAGCCCCTGGCCATGCAAGTTGGAGCTGGAGGAGCCACTGAAGTCACCAGGAGGAGCAGCAGGTGGTGCTCAGACATGAGCTGTGTAGCCTCAGCAGCCAGGGCTCCCCTTGCACACCCCAGCCCTCTTTCCTTGTTTGTAAATGGGCTGATGAGCGAGCCACGTCACACACTGGGTGAGGGAAGGAGAGGCCATCCGCACCAGAGGGATGTGGAGCACAGTGCGCATTCAGTGTGATTCCTTCCGCCATGCCCAGCCAGCCACGAAGGAGGTCTCAGGAGAGCCTCCCTGGAGGGCAGGGTGTGAGAACAAACCGCAGCTTGGCCTGCTGCAGGTGGAAGTTGTCCTCCTGTTCCTCCCACGTCTTGAAGTGCTCTGCCTCCTTCTCCCGCTGTAGCATCTCCAGCTCCTGCTCGCGCATAGCCTTCTCCCGCTCGCGCTCCAGCCTCAGCTGCTTCACCTGGAGGAACATCAAATGAGGGGCACTCCAGGGGTGCCACAGCCCTGCTGCCTTCTCAGGCCACGACCCGGCCCTGCCCTGTGCACAGGGACCAGCTGGGGCTACGTCAGCCTCCCTAAAGGAGGGGGTGAGAGCAAAGCAGGACCCATGGGGAAGGGAGACACCATTTGGGCCCCTAAGGCCAGTGAAGCTTGATGCCAGTGCCCTGGATTCGGAGGTGAACACATCCACCCATCCTGGCTGGCTGAGGTCTGAGTGCATAGCTGTGGCCCACCTTCTGCAGCTCCAGCCGATTGTCCTCCTGGATCCTCTTGTTGCGCTCCTTCAGCTCCTTCTCCTCCAAGTGGCTGATCCCTTTCTTCTCCAGGGCCTGGAAGGACAGACCCATGTCCCCCGAGCAACGATCCCTGGCCCATGCCAGCCCGGCTCCACCTCTAGGGGGCTGCATATGATGAGCCCATGTGACCTGGAACCCTCTGATGTCACCTAACAGCTGTGCTAGCCACTGAAATTCTAACTGTCTCCCTCCAGGTTCCTAGTGCCTAAGCGAGGATCCCCCTGGCCCCCATGAAAAGCCCACAGGAGGACACAGGGATGCTGGTTCTGGAGCTCCCTCCACCGACTCTCTATCCCAAGCTCCCTTCCTGCCTCACGATCCAGTGCCCACCAGCACACGTGTGCCCGAGTCATGTCTGGGAATAACAGTGCAGACAAACAGGGCCTAGACAAGTGCTCTGCTTTTCATGGCTGGGCGAGCTTGAGGCTTAGCATGGCTGGGAGAGCGGTGGTTCCCCCGCTCTGGCCCACGGGCTCACCTTGTTCCAGATAAAGGTGCCCAACAGGTTGTTGTCACCGAAGGGGTTGTCAGTGTTGGTGTAGCCCATGTACTCTTCGCCCCAGCCCATCTTCTCCCGCTTCTTGCGCTCCTTGGCCTCCTTCTTGGCCAGCCGCCGAGCACGCTTCTCCTCAGGTGTCTCGAAGGCCTTGAGCAGCTCCTCCTGCTGTCGCCGCTCCTCACGCCGCCGCAGCCGCTCCTGCAGGCTCTGCTGCTGGCTCAGGGCTGCCGCCGCTGCCCCAGGGCTCTGCCTGAATCCTGGGGACACTGTGCTGGACGCTGAGGAGCCCCGCGACCAGGAACGCCTGCGCCCGTGGTGGGCCCAGCCCCGTGCCTGCTCCTCCCCAGAATCAGACTGCGAGGACTGGTCCCGGGAGCGCCATCGGGGTGGGGGGCTCTGACTTCGCCTCCTGGGCCGCTGCCGCCGGTCTTCCTCCGAATCCGACCTACAGAGGGAGAGGACCCACAAGGCCTGCTCAGTGCTGCTGGTGGGCACTGCTCTGGGTGCTGGGGACCCAGCAGTAACCAGAACATTGATGGCTCTGCCTTCTTGGGCTCACCAGCCTGTGGCCCACCACATTAAAGCCACACAGAAATGCACACTGGTGTGACAGACTTGACACAGCCATGGGAGCCAGGGTACTGACTGAGGGTGGGGAGACCTGAGGAGGGAGGAGAGGAGCTGCAGGGCAGAGAGATCATGTGGGGCCTGGGTAAGGATGTGGGTAGGACACCCTGGGCACAGCACATGTGTGGGAAGAGCATTCCAGGCAGAAGGAACAGCAGGAGCCATGACACCGAGGCTGGAATGCACTTGGCTTGTCGAGGTTGTAAGGTGTGAATCAGAGGACTGACCTGGTCCTACGTGCCAAAGACAGGCATGGACAGCGTGCCAGGAGGAAGTGGGGTTTGAACTGGTCCTGGGGCGGGCAGAGTAAAGTGTCAGGAGGAAGGAGCAGGGTGTGAGGCATCCCTGGGGATGGATTCTTGGATGTCTATTTTGTCTGATGTGCTGCTTACTCAGCTCACGGAAAGAAACAACGTAAACCATGAAACCAAGTACACTGGAGCCCTTAAACACTGTTGCCTTGTTTTTTTGTTGTTTTTGTTGTCTTTTTTCTTTTGCTTTTTTTTTTTCTCAGAGCTGGGGACTGAACTCAGGGCCTTGCACTCGCCAGGCAAGCGCTCTTCCACTGAGCTAAATCCCCAACCCCGAGCCCTTAAAAACTGACCGAAAACTCTATCAAGTTTTCAGAGACAACTTCAACTCTCATTGTGTATCTCAAGCGGCTCATCACTGCAAATCACTTAAATCCCAGAAAACAGCACGGGGAAAGATAAAGACAGCAACAACAAGACTTACAGTGGCTCCTGGAGCTCTCAATGCACCAACGCCTGGGCCTTCAACCAGATGAACTGGCTTTTTTCCAAAAGGAGCAGATGGTAAAGTTCCAAGTTTTGCAGGCCACGTGGTCCAAGCCACAACTACTCAACTCTGCTCTTTAGCACAAAAGCAGCCCGGGCCAGCATGGAGACAAATAAGTATGGCTATGCTCTGCTCCCCCCACTCCTTTGGCAGCACTGGGGTTTGAACTCAAGGCTTCAGCTTCCTAGGCAGGCGCTCTACCACTTGAGCCACTCCACCAGCCCACGTGGCTGGGCTGCAATGCAGCTTTATTCCCAGACACTAAGGTGAATTTCATCTCGTACTCAGGAGTTAGGAAACATGAATCTTCTTTTGACTGCCTCTCCATTAAAAATGTGAAAACCAGCCAGGTGCTGGTGGCTCATGCCTGTCATCCTAGCTACTTGGGAGACAGAGATCAGGAGGATCACAGTTCAAAGCCAGCCTGGGCAAATAATTCCCAAGACCCTATCTCAAAAAAAGACCCTTCACAAAAAAGGACTGGTAGAGTGGCTCAAGGTGCAGGTCTTGAGTTAAAAACTCCAATGTCGCAAAAAAAAATTTTTTTTTTTTTTTTTTTAGAAAGTGTGAAAACTAGGGGCTGGAGCTGTGGCTCAAGCAATAGAGCGCATGCTTTGCAAGTGCAAAGCCCTGAGTTCAAACCCCAGTCCCACCAAAAAAAAAAAAAAGGGTGAAAACTAGGCTGGGTGTGGTGGTTCAGAGTTGCAATTGCAGCTACTTGGAAGGTGTAGGTAAGGAGGACTGTGGTTCAGGCCAGCCCTGGCAAAAATAGGAGACTCTATCTGAAAAGTAATTAAAGCAAAAAGGGGTGGAGGCATAGCTCAAGTACTAGAGCACCTCCCTAGCAAGCTAGGCCGAGTTTAAACCCCAGTACTGCTACCCTCCTCCGCCCTGCCCACCAAAAGAGTAAAAATTAGCCAGCGTGGTGTCCCACAGCTGTGATCCCAGTACTCTGGAGACTGAGGCAGGAGGATCTCCAGTTCCAGGACAGCCTGGGCTGCGTAGCAGGACTATATCACCAAATAAAACAAGAAGCAACAAACCACCCAAGTAAAAAAAACAAACCTAAGAATGTAAAGAGCATTCTTACTCCCTAGCTTAATCAGCTGACCCCTTAACTCAATTCTGCCACTTTTATCTTCCTGGGATGCCTGGGGCAGTGACAATCTCATCACACTCAAAAGCCACGTTGTGGAACCTGAGAACCTTGCACCACAGCCTCTCCATGGTATGGAGACCAGCTGGAGAAGCTCTGCTGCAGCTGTCAATGTGAATTTTGTCAGCTGTCGTGGGCTCCTTTCCCCTTTCATATCCATCTCCATTAGCAAGGGTTGTCACCTTCACTTCCAAAGTCCCCCTCAAATCTACCCACTTTCCCACTAAGCCTGACATCACGGGGCCATCGACTGCCTGGACAACCGTGCCATCCATCCTCCTCTCTGGTGCCCTCCTGCTTCCCCTCAGTCTCCGCTCCATAGGAAAGTCAGAGTTTCTGAAAGTCAGTCAAGTCACGTCACTGCTCTATTCAAAGTTCTCCTCATTTCCCTCCGATAACTCCTCACCACGGCACACGGGACCCTTATCCCTGGGTACCTCTCCGACCTCACCCCCTGCATCCCACTTGCTCCGCTCCTTGCGGTCTCTCAAACCACCAGGCGCCCTGCTCTCAACGCCTGTCACTTTCTTGTCGCCGCTTGGTTTACCGAGAAGAACCCGTGCTCTGACACCCCTTTCTCTGACACCACGTCGGGTCCAGTTCCGCTAAGGCGGAGACCTGACGGCAGCCGTATCCTCAGAGCTGGCCCCCCAGCGGTCCCACCTGCGCTCCCGGCTCCGCCGCCTCCGCCGGTGCCGCCCCTCGTCTTCCCGGCGCCGCCGGCTTCGCCGCCCATGGCTGCCGCTCCGACTTCTGCTCCGACTGCGACTGCCACTCTGACTCCGCCGCCTTCGGCCCCTGCGACCCGCCGACCGCGAGCGTGAGCGTGTGTCGCGACCCATCTGTGGCTACGGCAGCGGCGGCGCAGACGCAAACAGTCGGTGCCTGCACTGGGGGCCTTTCTCGACCAAGGCGCGCTTGGGGCTGCCCCATCTTAGCCCGAACCAGGAGAACGCGTCCTTCCCGCTTCCCGGAACTGCAAAAGGCGGGAAATCGGGATCTTCCTAGGTCCTCAAACGTAGCTTGCGTGACAGACTCCGTCTGGACCGTCGCAAGCCGAAACGGGAATAGCTATCCTTCAGGCAGTGCTTGAGGCAGCCCGAGGCGGGTCTTCGTGCCTTAGTGGGCTGGAGGAACGGCGGGCGGGGCCGCTAATTGTGGGCGGGGACAGGGGAACGAGGAACCGTTAGTGGGGCGAGGCCTCGGGGACTTGGGACCAAAAAGAGGCGGGTCCACCGAGGAAGTGGAGCCGAGGCGGGCGTGGCCCTCGAGGATGAATCAAAAGGTACGGCCGAAAGGGGGCGCGGCCACAGAGGCGTGTCCCAGGGGCGAGGTCTCGGGAAGGCTGCGGACGTGGAAGAGGGCGGATGCGAATACAGATTGCTCAAAAGGGGACGGAGATTCAAAAAGTCTTAAGAGGCCGGTCCGGGTCATCATGTTCCACCACCTACCAGTGAATACTTGCGTAGGTTATGTTTTTAAAAAACTTCAGTAACTCCCTTGAATTCCCCAACCCGTTTTAGAGATGGGGAAACAGGCTCGGGGATATCACTTTAACATCTTCCTCCATCCCCAGCGGACCTTGGATTTGTCGTGTGGGCATTGAGACCCCTCGTGGGAGGGTTTTAGCACGGGAGCGATGAGCCAGGCGGAGTGCCCACGGGCCAGTGGGAGGATGGACACAAGACTAGAGGCTCTGGGCTCTCCAGCCCAAGGCTGCCCCACCACCTCCTCCACCCACACTTATAACCACACTGGGCTGGGTGTGCTGTGCTTGGATGAGACGTAATATTTTAACTTAAGCTAACTCTAAATGCTGATCTTAAATTACAACTCCGCAATTCTGACTTTGCATGCACTGCTCTTCAGAAAGAAACCCGGGACCATATCCTGTCATTTTTGGGGGGCATGGTGCGACTGGGGTTTGAATTCGGCTTCAGTCTTGCAAAGTAGGTGCTGTACCTCTTGAGTCACATCTCCATTTAGTCCATTTTGCGCTGGTTATTTTGGAGATGGGGGTCTCACGAACTATTTGCCTGGGCTGGCCTCAAATCTTGATCCTCCCCCTCAGCCTCTCAAGTAGCTAGGATTACAGGTGTGAGCCACAGGGCGCCTAACTTCTTGCCACTCTTGACGATGACCCTGCTTCGTCTTCCAGAGTGCACTCTGTCATTCAGTCTCACTGCTGATCTCTGGAGGTTAAAAAAAAAAAAAAAAGCAGATTCAAACCCTCCCACATGTCCACCTTATAACTGAGCCTACTGTTTTCCACGACAGCCTCTTCCAAACAAACTGGTTTTCCCAGGACTCGCTTATAGGCAGAGTCTTACCTTCAGGGCAGTTTCTCAAGCTAGGAGTTGGGAAGAAATATTTCCCCTTAAAGGGGTCCATCCATTCCTCCAGCTCAGCAGCTCTGGCTTGTGACTTTGGGAAGGTCTGCTGTTTTGAGCTGGGCTGCAGCATTGTCACAGGCTTTGACTTTCTGAACTAGATCCCACAGGAGACCATAGCTATACTACCCATACATATATATACATATTTTTTGGCAGTACTGCAGTTTGAACGTGGGCTACTTTAGCCACACTCTCACCCTTTCTTTTCCCTCTACATAAGGGCTCCCACATTTTCCCTGGCCAGCCTTGGACAGAGATCCTCCTACCTGGCTGGGATTACACTCACTACCACACCTTGCCCATGCATTTGGGACAGGGTGTTAGTTTGAGGCTGGCCCCAAACTCTGGGCTCAGCCAGTCCTACCAAGTGTCTGGCTGTGGCCTTATTCACACTTTTCATGAGTTTTTTTTCCACTCTGTGATTCAGTTGGTTCTCTAATCCCAGATCCTGGGATGCACCAGAGAGGCACACAGCTGATGTTTATACCCGATTTATTAGAGAGATCTGTTCAACGTAAAAAGAGATGTGATGGGGACAGCTGGGCAGGGGCCTGGGCTGCATACACATGTTTTCTGGGACCAGCAGTAGCTGGATTATTCGAGGTGCCCATTGTTCTGGGCTGGGGGACACGGCCTCCTCAAAGGTGCCAAGGGAAGCCGTGCTCCGGATTGTCACACACCAGGCCACAGGGGCTGAGGATGAGACCCCGGTGAGAGTTAAGACACACAAGGTTTGCACTTTTAAGAATTGGTTCGGCCATAAAAACGAGATTGGAGTGCGGCTGGGAGATGCGATTTTTAACCACCAGAGAAAAGGGTATGTGTGGGATGCCTGTCCTGGGGTGGGGACCAAAGACAGTACCATGGCAAGGGACCCCACGGGGATGGAAGTATTGCACTGAGCCAGGTGTGGGGTGGATGGGGACATGTCGAGATGGCATGGGAGGACACAGATGGAAGGAGACACATGAATGTTCCACTTTTGTCAGTTTCACAAAAAAATGCTTCAGTTCTTACAGTACAGGAATTTGGACACTGTCCCCGGCCAGAGCGGTAGCAGCCACTGGAGAGAGGAGCTGGGGGTGTGGGGAGGGAGTGCATCGTGAGGATATTTACAGTTTCTACGGAGGAGGGGGTCCAGGGCCTTCCTCCAGGGAGCTGAGGATGGGCGGGGTACAGTCCTTCAAAAAGAAACAAAGAAAGCGACACAAGATGGGTCTTGGAAGTGGTCTTCGGGGCTTCACACAAAATTGGAAATGTAATGACATCTATGGCGTTTGCAAATCTCTCCTTGTGGACTCTGCCTCCACACCGAGGGGTCTGAGGGGTACCCCAGCCACTCCTCTTCTGCTTAGCGACCTGGACATGGACCTGCTGTCCACATGAGGGATTATGGGCTCTGAGCCACTTCTAGGAACCTCAGCTTGGCCCCTGGCAATCTGGGTGTGGTAATGACTTGGCTGTCTCTGTTAGTCATTCAGGTCCTGGACACCCCTTGTGACCTCTGCCCTGGTGTCCTTCCACATGTCCATTGGGTATCCTTCAGCAGGGCAGGCAGGCAGGTGCCAGTGTGTGAATCAGGGCTGACATAGAAGAGAGGATGCAGCTACGTCCAAACAGGGACTTGGATGGGCTTGTCTTCAGGTCCTTTGAGCCCAGGCAGCAGCAGGTCCCCTCCCCAGCTCAGACCTGGGGGGCTCCAGTGGAGTGCTGGCTGGCTCTGTGACAGGCTCTCTCTGCACAGTCCTGGTGGGACAGAGACCAGGAGGAGCCATGGCTTGGAGCTCACACAGGCTGGTGGGCTCAGCTCCCCTGGGGAGAGGGAAGGGTTTGGAGCAAAAGCCACACACACATCCTCGTGCCAGGGCCCGTAAGTGGGGGATCCCAGAAATGGGAGGAGGGCTGGGGATGGTCCTCATTACATCAACTCCAGGAATCCCAAAAGGGGGACGGGGACACAACTGCCTGGGGTGGTGATGACTTCAACTTGTGCCCTCTGACTACAGCAGGCCAGCCAGCTGCCAGACCTGACAAGTGGGGAAAAGTCTCTGTCCTTTCATCTACCAGGCACTGCCATCACTGAGCAGAGGGTGGCAGCCCTGGCCTCCAGGCAGTACCTCCAAGACCCAGGGTGTGTCCTCTAACTGGTTGGGACAGAGAGGCTCTGGGTGGCTATCACGGCTCACAGTAGCCTGATGTCACCTTGGCTATCTCCAGGATACAGCTCTCTGTAACCTAGAGCTAAGGTCCTGCCTCTCCATTTCAAGGTTGGACCAGGTTCTGCTCTGACCAAGTGGTCCACGATGGGTGTGAGGTCAAGTCCACCGCCCTGAGCTGCTGCCCCCACAGGGCCCTCCCAGTGCCAGGTCTGATTGTGACATGCTGGGCCTTCTTGCTCACAGGTCCCTCGGTCTTAGAAAGTCCCTCCTGGTGGCAAGAAATTAATGTGGAGAAGTCACAGCCACCTGGGGCCACCCCTGAGGATGCAGGTCTTGCCCAGAAGCCCCCAAACCTGAGCCAAATGAGGGAGTAGTTGTGTCCAGCCAGGAGCGGTTTGCCTTTGCACTCAAGTCTGGAATGACTTAAGTGTCAAGTCTGGGATGGTGAGAAGAGCCACCCATCCTGTCACCTCTGCAGGCTGCCAGGTGAGACTTGAGAGTGTAGGCTTTCTCAGGGCCACGGGGACCTGGTCCCCAAGGTGGCAGGGCACATGCAAGTACAGCAGAGAACCTTGAAGTCAGTTGAACGGAGTCTCTTGGTTCTTGGTTTTGTGTGTGTGTGTGTGTGTGTGTCTGGTTTGTCATTTTCCTAAAAAGCACCTGCGTGCTTCTGTCTCTGTGCAAAAAGTAAGGACCCAAAATAAATACACGGTGGGATGCTCCGCAGCTCCGCAGGTACCGCCTCACGAACCCAGGTAGTTGAAGGGATACCGCAGTCCTCAGGAGTTGTCGGAGGGGACAGGCTCGGCCTGCTGTCAGCATCCATCAGGGGAGGACGAGGACGAGGTCGGGCCAGGGATGGCCTGCAAGTCGCCAAGCTCTGGGCCTCAGCTGGGCAGACGGTGCCTCTGGGGAGCGGCCGGGGCGGAGGCGGGCGCTGGGCTCCGGGTTGGGAACTGCATAGAAATTACTGCAAAGGCGAGGGGAACAGGTAAGGGCGGGTGGGGGGCACGGCAAGGACCCCTTGCCACCCGCTGGGCCCCCCGGGGCCACTGGGCCCGGAGATGCCTATTCCGGGGCTACCTGGGTGTCCCTGGTCTGGGCCGCCTGTGCCCGCCCTCCCCGGCCTCGGTTTCCCCTCGGACTCGGGCCCCTGCTGGGCCAGGGTCTGGCCCCGGTGCGGGCGGCCACCCCGCCCCACTTACTGTGTCGCTCTCGCCGTCGGAGGCGGGCTGCGCCTGCGCGCTATAGTGAAGCGGGGAGTACACCCAGCTCCTCTCGTCGGTGGGCTGCGGGCGGGCGCGCGGGGTGGGCGGGGGTGCAGGAGGGCGGGGGCGAGGAGCGCAGAGACAGGCGGAGGCAGAAGGAGAGAGGAGAAAGTAAAAGAGGCGGAGCCCACGGGCGGGCGGCTCTCCGCACGCGCGCACCTCGCACGGCGCCCGCCCCGTCCCTGGCCCAGGCGCAAAGGCGGCGGCAGCAGTTAGTGCGGTCACGGTGCGGGCGGCTTGACGCAGGGGAAGGAGCGCGGGGAGGGGGGCGGGGGTCGGCGGGCGGGATGCGTTTGCAGCCTCCCCCTCCAACTACCCCCATCCTGCTCCTCCTCTCTTCCTTCAACGCCTCCCGTCAACTCCTCCCTCCCTTCCCGTCCCTCTCCAGCTGCTTTTCCTCCTCTCCATACGTCAGAGAGCTCTATCCTTATCCTAACCTCCACCCATCCTCCCATTCTGCCTGCCAGACAGACTCCAGGGAGCTTCATGGGGGGGGGGTCCTGCTGAGTCAGGGAACCCCAATCTGTTTCACCATGATCCCTGTTTCTGATGACAGCCTGTGAAGACCTGAATACACAGCTGGTGCACCATACAGCCCTGCCGCCTGAGGCTGGCTGTCCAGCTAAGAACCTTCCGCCAAGAGGACGACACGCCAGGGGAGCAGGGACAGTGGTTAGGTTAGGGCTAGGCACTGCCCATTGAACTTTTCCCAGGTGTATCTGAGTGAGGGGTCCTGGGTGGACTCAAGTCTGGAGACTGAGTATGTAACCTAAACCACCCTCTCATCTGCTCCTAGGGGCGGCTATCTTGGGAGGGTCCTCTTCTCTCGCTCCCTCCTCCTCCCAGGGCCTCCCCATCAGCCCCCAGCCTTCCAGACTCCTTTGGGTGCCAAGTGGCCTGTGGACTTCTACCCAGGCCTGTCTCCTGCTCAGAGTCCCTAGCCATGTCCACCTGGGTGTCTCTGAACTGCATTCTAAGCTTGTTGCAGCCACAAAAAAAACAGCCCCTCTGTCCAGTCCCAACCATGCTGCCCTGGCCACGCTGCACCTCTTGCCTCTCTCACATCCATCCTCAGTATGGACCTGTCACTGACTGTCCTGGAGTCCCCTCCCAGCGGCCTGAAAGGCAGCCTGTGGGCTCCGTGCTTTCCAGGTGGGCCAGGCCTCACCTGCTGGGTTGCCATCCCCCACTTCAGCCACCTGAGGCTCCACCCAGAACATCCTACTCTGCGTCCTCTTGCAGTTGAGGCCCCAAGAGCCTCCCACCTGTGTGCCCAGGCTGGATAAATGGACAGCAGTGCATGCACTGTGGGAGCACAAAGGCACTGTGGGGTCAGTGCTGGGATCTCAGACCTCTGATGGCTCACAAAGGAACAAAACCTTTGAGGGTCCAGCCCAAGGCACCCTACACGGCTGTCCCACACTGATTTGTGGGGCTTGTCTGGGGCTCAGAAGCTCCAAAGACACCCTCTGTCCCCAGGAAAGAGGCTAGCGGCAGCCCTGCAGGCCACCATCAGAGCTGTCCTCTAGGAGGGGGCAGCCAGTACTGCCCCTGGGCAAGGACAACAGGACACTTTGAGATGTTAGGAAGGGAAGGTGAATCAGCTTTCCTGTCTTCCAGGAGCAGGGTGGACAGAGAAGGACCCCTTAGCCACCAGCTGACCTGTCAGGCTGGGCAGGCTAGGCAGTGGCTGAGATCCAGGACGTGGGTGACTGCATGTAGGTCAGGGTCAAGAGCGCATCCTATGAGTCCTTCAACCCTCCTGCTGGCTGTGGCCCTCTCCTTGCAGCCACCTGCCAGACTTTTGCTTCAGCTGGGCCCTACCAAGGCTCCCTTCCCTTTCCTGTGTCTCCAGCCAAACTGAGGTGTTTATCAAAGGCCTTCTTGAACAGCTCCCCTCTGCCCAGTCCCAGCCGCAGCACCCTGGGCAGCTCTGTGAGTATCTCAGGGTGCAGCTTCTCCGGTTCACTGCCTGCTGTCTGAGCTGGACACAACGTGGCCAGAAGGGCTAGGGAACTGGTCACCCCACGATGTCTGGCATACAGCCTGCCCAGTTTGCTGATGGGGTTGGAGGTGAAGGCAGCATTGAAAACAGACACTCTTGCTTCAAGTCTGTACCCTCTCCTGGCTGCTCTGGTGCTCTGCAGCTCTGGGTAAGTCACTCAGCCTCTCTGGGCCCTGTGCTTATTGTTCACGTGGCAGTAGTAGCCACTTACAGTTCTCCACCTATGACTTCTCCATCTGTGACATGTGTAGAGAGGCCCTGCAGTTCAGGGCTCAGCTCTGTGGCTGCTCTGCTGACCTGTGTGGCAAGTGTGGACAGTGAGATGAGTGTGGAGGCTGGCAGGCTGGGGTCAGGGCGACCCTGCCATGGCCACTGCCTCCTTCAACTTGGAGTTAAATGCGTTTTCATGTGACATGATGCACTCAGCCCAGTTCCCACCTGGGGCAGGTTGGCCGACCTCACCCAGTTGGTATTTTTCCAAAGTCCTTTGAGAAGAAAGGGGAGGCTGGGCACTGTCCTGGGCTAGGGAGTCTGCTCTCTGTTGGCCCGAGGTGGGCAAGGCCCCTTCTCCCCAGTGGCCGGCTGCGGTCACTTACAGTGCCCAAGGAGCTCGGCGTGACGGCCCGCAGTCGGCGATGACGGGGAGAAAATATCCAGTATCTCCCATCGGCAAACTGGCGGGCAGCGGGCCGGGCGGGCAGAAGGAAGAGAGTGTACAGAGGATGAGGGCAAAGGAGTCAGGTAGGGAGAGGCGGAGAGACAGCGGGGTTGGCGGGCTGGGGGACAAGCTGGCTGAAGCAGGAGGTGGGGGTGTATGCAGGTGTCTGACAGGCCTGCTACCTGCTTTGCAGGAGGGACACAGGGCACACCCGGCAGGACACAGCCCCCCACACCATACACGGACTAGGAAACACACACATACACACCAAGGTCTGGGTGCAGGGTGACGAAGCAGGTTGGGGACAGAGCCCTGGCCCAGTCCTTTCCCCTTCAGGGCCAAGAGGGGACTCTGGGTCCCCCAGACATGGCTCAGAGACAAAGCAGGCTGTGTTAGTAAAGAAGAAGCGCTGGCCTTGGGCGGGGATGAGGCTGGGCCCCCAGGCTGACCCCTGGGCCCCTGAAGGATGACAATGCTCTGGGAATTGGAGGGGCTTTCTGGCCCTCCCTGTTGCAGTAGGGAGACTGACCCCTGAGGGGCTGCAGCTGTGGTGGCCCCAGGACTCATGGTTGGGGAGGGTCCTTAGACTGAACTTGCAGCCCTTCTAATGTGGGAGATGGGGTGGTGACCCCTAGCTTGAGGAGGGAGGTCCTTGGTCCCCAAGGCCAGGGTACACCCAGTTTCAATCAATGGAGCAGATAGCATGAGGCACTCCTGTCACTTGCCAGGTCCCCCTGCCCTCCTTGAGGACACCCCAGTGTCCTTGTCCACTACCTGCAGGGGACAGATTCCTGCCATTTCCCAACTGCCAGGGACCCAGGGCATGGGTCTCCCCACGGGCCCAGGGGGGCTGTGTGTTTGAGGTGTGGTGGCATGGCCAGGCAATGGTGATGTGGCCAGGGAGGGACATATGGGTGGCTCAGATCCTTGAAGAGTCTGGCCTAGGGGATGCAGGGCATGAGGTGGCCAGCCCTGGTGGTTGTGAATACAACTGAGTGTGCCAGTGTGCCAGGGCACGTATGCAAGTGGTTATGAAAGCCCTGAGTGTGAGTGCACGAGTGTCTACATGAGGGAGTGTGCAAGATGCATGGACTCCATGGGGTGCATCACAGGGCATGTGGAAGTTACACATGGGCTCCGAGGGGCAGGGGACCTCAGGGGACTTACAAAATAGATGTCAGTAGCAGGTGCATCCTCCTCATCTGAGGCCTGGCTGGCGGGCTCTGACGCCTGGCTGGCTGTGTCCACATCCACAGCAGCAGCAGCAGCAGATGCACCAGCTGGGGAAGCTTCCATCCTAGGTACAGGGGGCAGGCAGATGGGGTCCTGGGCAGTTCTGGGCAGCACCAACTTCCCTCTGTCTCAAGAACCACTTTATAGTGTCATAAATGAGACAAAAGACCCAGGCAACAGGTAGTGGACCTTAACATGTTCCATGTTACCAAAACAAAACAGTCATACCAGATGCTGTATTGAACACTGCTGCTGGCCAGCAGCCTCCTCACCCCAGGAGTCTGCTTCTCTCTAAGCCTCCGTTTCCTCATCTGAAAGCGGAGAAACACAGGACCTTCTCCCGTGGGGCCAGGACCCCTCTTCTCCTTTTCACAGCTCACTTACAACATGCCAGGACAGCTCCCAAAGCCTTTGTGAACGAGCACTGCCAGTTGCTGCTGACCCCATTTTGCAGATGAGAAAACTGAGGCTCAGAAAGAAGGCAAGAGCCAGGTGCCAGTGGCTCACCCTATAATCCTAGCTGCTTAGGAAGCAGAGATCAGGAGGATCGAGGTTCGAAGCTAGACTGTGCAGTTTGAGAAACCCTACCTTGAAAATACCTAACACAAGAAAAGGCTGGCGGAGTGGCTTAAGGTGTAGAATGCCTAGCTAGCAAGCATGAGGCCCTGAGTTCAAACCCCAGTACTGCCAAAAAGAAAGAAAAGGAAAAAAAAGAATAACTATTTAACTGGGCACCAGTGGCTCACCCTATAGTCCTAGTTCTCAGGAGGCAGAGATCAGGAGGATCACAGTTTGAAGCTAACCCAGGTAAATAGTTCCTTGAGACCCTATCTCGAAAACACCCTTCACCAAAAAAGGGCTGGTGGAATGGCTCAAGGTGTAGGCCCTGAGTTCAAACCTCAGTACTGCAAAAAAAAAAAAAAAAAAAGAAAGAAAAAGGAAAAAGGATGAACGTAAGGTCACAGCTGGGGCTAAGTGGTTGTGGCATAAAATTCATCTCATAAATGACAATGCTGAGGACTTGCTCTCCTGTCACGTTTGAAGTGGGTTTTTTCGAATGAGAATTTACACAGGCAGATTCAGTAAATGGCAAAAGACAGACGGGCAGAAATCTCCTGTGTGTGCACATGCGTGTGTAAAATGAACTCTCTGAACAGTAGAGCCTGGGAATCTGTGCCAAGAGTGCTCAGTAAAAATAAGTACAGAAAACAAACATTAGAGAGGCAAGAAGAATTCAATAACATCATGATAAAGAATTGCACACACCGACACATGAGAACCTGCTGAAGACACTGAGGAATTACTCAATGACGACAGCCAAAAAGCTGATGTAACAGACTTGGAGAGAACAGGATAGAAATTCTCCCCAGAAATAAATGCACATTTAAGAAGCAGATATTGGGCTGTGGGCTGGTGGCTCACACCTACAATCCCAGATACTTGGGTGGTTCACATTGGGAGGATTGCCAACCCAGGCAAGTAGTTACGAGACTCTATATCCAAAATAACCAGAGCAAAGTGGACTGGAGGTGTGGCTCAGGCTGTAGAGGACCTGCTTTGCAAGTGTAAAGCCCTGAGTTCAAACTCCAGTGCCACCAGAAAAGAGAAATAGGTTTTACTCTTGACCATAAAGACTAATGTATTAAAAAAAAAAATCTTAGCCAGGTGTGGTAGCGTACACATGTAATTCCAGCACTGAAGCTGAGGCAGGAGGATTGTGAGTTCCAGGCCAGCTTGAGTTAAACAGAGTCTGTCTTTTAAAAAAATTTTAAAAAGAGGGTGGCTCAGTGGTAGAGCCCTTGTCTACCATGTGCCAGGGCCTGGGTTCAGATCGCCAGCAGTGAAAAAAAGAGAAGGTTAATGCAAAAGGCACAGAATTTTAAAGGCTGCAGTCATTTTTTAATTCCTTAAGTCTTTGGGTCAGAGACTCCTAAATAATCCTCAGCCCAGGGTCGCCAGGTCCCCCTGGGGCCAGGTTGTTCTCTGAGGAGCGTCCTGGGCCCCTGAGGGCACTGAGCAGCATCCCTGGCCTCCACCCACTCCCTCCCAGGAGCTCCCCAGTTGTGAGAGTCACACAAGTCCCCAAACAGAGCCTAGTGTCCCTTGGGGCAGAGTAACACAGTTTGTTAAAAACCACTGCCTTAGATAAAAGATGAAATTAAAAGCAAAACCCCTTCTATCTGTACATCAGGAAGAAAAAGCCACATTGTTAGTGAGAAAAGCTGTGGCTTTTCCTGGTGCCCACCATTACCTCCTTGGAGCCTGCACTCACCCTGCATCGTCCTCCTTGGGGACCACAATCTCCACACTGCACGTGGGTTCCACCTGCACCGTTATCTGCTGCAGTTCCTCTTCCACATGGGGCTCCTCCTGGGGCCTGGAGGCCAGGGGAGCCAAGCTCAGTTTCCTGTTTCCTCCTCCCCACCCCCAGTCCTGGTGGAGCACCAGCTCAGACTGAGTTCTCTGGTTGTCATGTCAGGGGGCTGCCTCTGGGCCCAGCTGCACACCTGGGTCCCTCTGGGACCCTAATGTTTACGGGATGAGTGGATGGAGAACCCACAGGCTCAGAAGCGTGCCCACCCTCCTGGAGTAGCTGGGCATCGCTGTCCATTGTCTGAACGGAGGCTCCACACAGAGGGTCGGAACAGCGGGTTGCTGGGGGTGAAGGGGGGTGGGACTCACCGGCCATCCTGTCCGGAGGACTGGGTGCGTCGCCTGTAGAGATGGCAACAGGTGCGGGGCACACGGCCCCCGCCTCTGTTACAGCCAAGTTTGGAGACAGTGTGCCCCGCCCACCTGCTGCTTCCTCCTCTGCCCACCCACCTGCCTCACTCACCTGTACCGTGGCTGCTCCGAGGTCTCAGAGGGGGACCGCTCTGGGATGGAGAGGGAGGTGGACGACAGGGTCGTGGCGATGGAGGCGGTGGTAGCTTCTTCAAAAGAAGGTGGTGTGCAGGGCAAGAGGTCAGGCCGGCCTATGGGGAGAGGTAGGTGGGCACTTCGTGTGCTGGCGCCCCCTGGCTCTTACGCCTACCTGGTGGTACCACCCCCTGCTGGCCAAGCTTGGCATTTGCCCTCCCAATGGACGGGCACTCCCACCTGCCACCCAGCTTGTCTCCCTACGTGCCCTTTAAAAGGTCAGTATGGTTAAATTTTCCCTCCTGCACAAATGCTTCCACAGAACTTCTCAATGTTCTCAAAATACAAAACACCTCAAGGGCCACAGGGTCCTGCAGACCTACCCCTTTTCTGCCCTCACCTCCTCCTTCTCCCTCCACCTGTAGGTCAGGCTAGGTCCTGCCCAAGGTCCATCCTGCCTGGAATCCTTGACCCCCAGGGACCAGAAGATCTTCTGAAACATCAGTCCCAGCGCCATGCAGTGTGTCCTATGACGCCCCTGTACCTGATGGTGATGGTGATGGTGCTGTCTTCTATGCTTAGCGATCTCTGCAGCTGTTTCCCAGGGCCCAGTCCCACCAGCCCCCCACTGGCCCCTCTGTAGATTCTGCCCCAGGTTGGCCAATCACCTTCATCCTCTAGTGTGGGGTAGCTGCGGGCCCCCCGCAGGTCGTACTGCGCGTCTTCCCGCTCACTGGGGATCTGGCTGGCTGAGAAGGCAGCTGTGGGCCCCAGGGGCTTCACGGCCAGCAAGGCACCACGCCCCTTCTTGGACGGCGAGGACTTGAGGGCTGTGGAGGGAAGAAGTACGGTTGGTGCTTGGGTGGCCTGGGAGCCTCAAGGCTTCCCCAAGCAAGGGCCCCTATGTTCCAGCTTTGCCTTTACACAGAAGCCTGGCAGAACCCACATCCCCTGTCCTGCCTGGGGACCCTGTGCTCCTGGCTAATCTGCCTCTTGATGCTAGGGACGAAGGAAAGCCCTGCTCTGTCATGGGGAGGTGCCAGGGAAGCCTCATTCCTGCCACCCCACTCAGTCCGTAACAAGCCTCCTGGGCGACCGGGCACCACTGCCCCCAGGGCCTCCAGGAGTAAATAAATGGCAGAAGGAGTTGTTGCCTCTGCCTATAGACTGACCCACAGCCAAGACCCCCGCTATGGACGGAAAGCCCTGCATGTGGGTGTTGCAGCAGTGGCAGCACACTCTGCCCCTGCAGCTGGGTGACTCAGAAAGATGGCTGAGTCTCTCTGGGCCCCTGGGGTTTCGTCTGCAGCAACAGGGTCCACAGAGGCTCAGCCCCACGCGATACACCACTTTGCGTGTTCCGGGTCTGTCATTCTCCCACCCACCCTGGCTCCCTGATGCAGCCCTCTTCTCTCCTCCCGAGTCCCTCCCTCCCCAGCAGGCCTGGGTGGCTCACAGGAGTTCTTGCGAAAGACTGTGTTGCTCATGAACTTGAAGAAGCGTTCAGCATAGAAGCTGGGGCGGTGGACAGAGACTGTGTCCTGGAAGAGAAGGGGTGGGCAATGAGGGGGCATTAGCTGGGACTTTGCCCTCTGTGGGGATGTTTGTGGGCAGAAGTTGTGATAGGGGGGGTCCCTTCTGTGTAAAAAGTGCTGTGGCTTTTGGGAAGGGGACAGGGGCTCACTCAGAACCACATGGTCAGGATGAGATGGGAGGGAGATTTCTTCTTCACTATAACTTTTTGAACCATGTGAATGAAGTCACTATTCAAAGTACAAGAATGAACACCCCAGAAACCTGAGAGATGCAAAGTCTGGCCCCCATGCCTGCTTTGTAAATAAAGTTTTCTTGGCATGCAGCCACACCCCTTCCTGTATGTTTGGTCTCTGGTTGCTTTGCTATTTCCTGAGCAGCGTCCCTGGCAACCACCCACTCCATGCCAGGAGCAGCCCCAGCTCTGACAATGTTTTCCAACACTGCCCAGAGCCGAGCCCCGTTGAGACTCCCACTTTGACATAATGGACTCCAACAGGATTCTTCCCAAGTGTGATCACATGATTACATTTTGGCCAGAGGGACGTCAGCTGCACTGTGACAACATGATTTCCTTTGGGCAGTGGGATTTGGTCCAAGTTTGAGTTCAGGCTGACCTTGAACTCAGGATCCTCCTGCCTCAGCTTTCTGTGTGCTGAGCTGTGCACCAACCATGCCTGTCCACCCTGACCTTCTGGACATGTATTCTGGAAGTTTCTTCCCAGACTGTCATAAGGCTTTTTTGAGGGGGGGGTCTCCTTGTTGAATCTTGGATTTTATAGACTGTGGCCAGAGAGGCAGTCACTAGCACTTTAGTAAGAATCAGTCTGAAGCAGGGGCTCTGGGCAGAGAGCCGTCCACCCATCTAAGACCCCTTACATGGGCTATGGTCCTCACTCTGAGACTTGAGCCATGTGCTTGCAAGTCTGGACATGGGGTGTAAGGGGTCAGCCCAGGTCTTTCATTTATGTTTTTTTTTTTTTTTTTGGTAGCACTGGGGTTTGAACTAAAGGCCTCACACTTACTAGGCCAGTGCTCTTACCGCTTGAGCCACTTTGCCAGCCCCCAGGTCTTTCATTTAAAGAAACACACACTAAAAGTGCATATGGGAAAAAAAAATGTGTGTGGTAACTGGGGTCAGCACTGAACTGTGCTGCCAAAACCCCTCCACACTGTGCATTTCTGGAATACTCTGACATTCTGGGTCAAGCTGTCCTTCCAACAGCGTGGAAGTCCCCTCCTCCAGGATGCCAGCCCATCCTCCTCTAGGAGGGCAGGGACCCCTGCGGGGCTCCTGTAGCTGCCTGTGCTTTCTCTGCACCCTTGGCTTGGAGCTGGTGACAAGGCTGTTCCTGCTGGGCTGGGCAGCAACCCCAGGAAGGTGCGCCATGCGTGCTGGGTGCCTGTGGACTGATGGTGGACTCACCCCATCGTGGACCAGCGCCTTCCAGGTGTGCTCCAGCTTCTTGATGAACCTGCAGCGGAAGGGTGGGGAGTTCAGCACACCTGGTGAGGTGGGCAGGCAGCCTGGGGAGGGGGCTGGGTGGGGCCAGGCTGGGGCAGGCGACTCCCCTCCCCCCAGCACCTGTAGGACTGCAGGATGTCAATGATGCCTATGTGCAGCAGCAGGCGCTCCCCACGCCCGTTCACGGCTGGGATCCCACCCATCCTGCGGAGAGAGCCAGGGCAGTGTCAAGGTCCTGCAGGGCCCAGGAGGCTCCAGAGCCAAGAATCCATCTGCTCCCACAGCAGCAGGTGGAGCAGGTCCCAGGCACCTGGAATCTCGTCCTGGTGGGCAACTGAGTGTGTCTTGGGCTTTGCTCAAGCTCAGAGCTGAAGACCGGAGGCTGCCCAGCTGTCCTGGCTATGAGTCCTGGGTACACGCACACACTCACACGCATGCCTGCACCCGCCTCCATGCATAAGTACACTTCCATGCCTGCACACACACACTCCCACAACAAACATGTCATGCCTGCACACACGCACTCCCACACCTCCAGGACTGTACACGCTCATAACACGCACAAACCTGTGTGAACACCTCCATGCTGTACACACACACACGCACACCTCCACACAATCCCCATGACTGTACACACTCACATGCACACACCTAATGCATGCACAGCCCCCACACACGCACACGCCCCTCCACACACATGCACGCACACTCTGTGTCTCTGAGGCTTGGGCACAGGCTGGGGTAGCAGTCACATCGCGTGGCATAGTGCACACACGTCCTGGCCAAGCACGGTTAGTGACAGCACACGAGGCAACAGTTCCCGGAAGTCACCTCGACTTCAGACCCCTGGCTTAGCCCAGCAGGCTCTGCTCACCACACACCAGGCACCCTGTGCTCACCTGCTGGCCCTGTGCAGACCCGACAGACGCCAAGCCAGTGTGAGGCAGGGGCAGCTGCATGGAGCGAGTCCCCTCACCTGCTCAGGGATACAGACTGGCTCCTCCTCTGCCCTTGGCAGTTGGTGGCCTAGTAGGAGTCAGCACGCGTTTCCCGGTGGGTCAAGCTGGGGGATGGGTCACATCCCGATCCTATTCCCAGACACTGTTCCCCCAACCCTTGAGCCTTTAGCCCTTGACGGCAATCGGTACTCCACCTTCCTCCTCCAGGATCCAGGGCGGGAGTGTATACATGTGTTTTGTGTGCGTGTGTGTGAGCTAGGTGAGAAGTGAGCAGACGTTGCTGGGACAGGAGGACAGCCTTCATACTGACAGAAGGCTTGTCAATCTTAGCCCCAAGGGCACTGGACAATGTCTGGGTACGTGTGGCTGTCACTAGGCAGCTCAGCATGGAGTAGGTGGAGGCTTGGGATGCTATTCAGCACCTGCAGGGTCCAGGATGCTCCGCCCAGCGGATGCCCCAGGGTCCCCAGTGCCAAGGGGGTGACCCCTGGAGCATGTTTCAGCTTCTAAGGTGCTGCTCTGTGTCTTGCTGGCTGCAGATTTCCCAACGCTGCCCCTTCTATCAAATACCTCCCTTGTCCCCAGTCCCCTTCCAGCTGTCATCCCATGACACCTCACAGCTATGCTTTACATAGGGGGCTCTCTGTTGTTCATATGGATGGCCAGTGGGCTCAACCCACATACCTACTGACCTGCCCCACGTACCAGGGTCTGTAACTGCATCATGGCCTGGGAGGCAGGATGCCACAATCTCTAGGTCATGAAAGGAACCAGGGTGCAGAGGGACCTCTGTGCTCCACTTCTTTGCTCCCCTGTGGGCATCACTACCAGCTCTCTGGGCTGTTTGCCCCTTGGTTGGGGACAGTGGGCACTATCCTAGTTGGGCTAGGTGAGGACAACTCTGGGGGACCCCAGCCTTCCCCACCTACGTGTCGTCTGTCTCGATGGCCTCCCCACGGGCAGCCCCGCCCTGGATGGACTCCATGGCTGTGGAGTACAGTGCCTTCTGGCCCACGGGCCGCTTCTCATCAGAGGTGCTCTGGGCGCCCTCAGCCTGCCGCTCACGCTCCTGCTGGTCGATGTTATGGACGCCGAGCAGCAGGCTGTAGTCCATGATCTTGAAGCTCTCCAGTACCTGGCACAGGGGACTGGGTCAGGGATGGCTGAATGGCTGTCCTGGCTCACACATTGAGCCCCCCAATCCAGAGAGACCCAAGAACAGACAGCAGACCTCACTTGGGCCAGCTGCATTGGAGGGACTTAGTCCCATGGTCACACAGAAGCCCTGTCACCATCTTAAAGGACAGAGGGTTACAGTGGGAGCCAAGCCCAGGGTGTCGGCCCTGGAGCATGAGCACCTAATGTGGGATGAGGAACTACTTCCTGTGCCCTATCCTCTCCAGGGTTTACAGGTGAGGTGGCACTCCAGGCTTGAGCAGGGAAGCCCCTGCACGTGGACACCCAGGGTTTGGGGACAAGCCAGGGAAAACAGGGAGGCCCCTGGCCTGTGTGGAGGTGGAGGGAAGTCAGCAGGGAGAATGAAGGATGCAAACCCTGGCTTTGCTGAGGGCTGGGAGTGCCCTCCTTCGTCTGGACTGTAATGGGGACTTTGGAGCTGTCTCTGCTACAAGCACCATCTCTCCCTGGGCCTGCAGCAGCCTGATGGGTACTCAGCAGGACAAAGCTTGGGATCTCTGCCGCCATTGTGGATCTGCCTCTCTGGCTACCTTCAACTCTGGGTCAGATTCTTCCTGAGCTGTGCACGGCTACATCTCCACCTTGCTGTCTGGCTCATTCTGAGTCACCTTCCCCATGTCCCAAGATTCCAAGAACCACAGTCTGACAGGCAAATATCTCATGACCACAGCCAAAGTCAACCTCCCTATCACTGCCAATGATCCGTCAGACCTCCATTTGACCCAGACTAGTTAACTACACAGATTTCTTAACAATTTTTTTTTTTTGTGTGACAGGTTTGAACTCAAACTCAGGGCCAGGCACTTGCTAGGCAGATGCTCTACCACCTGCTTTTTTTTTTTTTTTTCTTTCCCTGTTTAAACCTGAAGGTTACGTCAGTACCTGACTCCTCAGGCACTGAGGAGGGCTCAAGGTGACTGTGCCTGTCTCCTTGTCATTCTGAGCAGCTATCCTAGGTAAATCCTTTTGTGTGTGTGGTTGGTCCTAGGATTTGAACCCAGGGCCTTGCACCTGTTAGGTAGGTGCTTTACCACTTCAGCCATGCCCCTAGCCCTTTCTGTTTGATTTTTGGGACAACTAGCTAGACCTGTGCTGTTGGGACTCCCCAAAGTCAGGGTCCCTCTGGCCTAGGACTCAGGCAACATGCACTGCACTGGGGGAGGCGGCTTGGCTGATATCACATGGCCCACCGAGAGCTGGGCACTTACTATTTTTTTCCCTGATGCACAGCCACGGTAGCCTCCATGAAGGATGTGACATGGGCCAAAGGCTGGCCAGGGTGGCTGCTCACTGTCACTACTGCCTGTGGAGTGGGGGTGGGGCTGCCCTGTGGTGGGCAAGGAAACAGGCAAGAGAGCCTGGGCAGCTAGCTGGGGGGCAGCAGCTTGCGGCCACAGCACCCTAAAGCTGGGCTGCGGGCTTTCGCAGGGACGGCCCCTGGCATGGTGGAGAAGCTGAGATGGCTTCCAGCCCTGCGTGGGCCGGGAGCTGTGGGGTGGGGCCTCACCAGGCAGTCGCGCTGCAGCGTCTTGACAAGGGCACTGAAGGTGTCGGCATCAAGCAGCAGCCCCTCAGGCATGTCCTGCATGAAGTCCAGGTCCTTGTAGGTGGGCATGCTCTTCTCCTTCTCCTTCTTGCTGGCCCGCCGCTTGTACGTGGAGCCCTTGAGGTCGAACTTGAGGTGCATCTTGACCATGCGTGGCAGCACGTTGTTCATGACCACCACGCGGATGTTTTTGCCTCCCGACTGCACGCAGTACAGCCCATAGAACTTCGGCAGCAGGGTCCGCGGGTTCTGGTTCAGGTTCTGCCAGGTGGTGGGGTGGCCGGGCCATCAGGCGGGGACACATGGCCACTCTGCCACCTCCCGCTTACCCCTGGGATCTCTGAAGAGCCCCCCACCCTGCTCTGCCCTCTACTGTACCCCAGGTTTACATGGGTTCTGAGGGCCAGGTCGTGGCCCATGAGGATTGGCCCACAGAACCAAAATACCAGCAATGGCTCTTGGCCACAGAAGGTTGCCAACCCCTGAACCAGGCAGCACACAGCAGAGAAAAGGTGTTGCAAAGGGGAAACTGAGTCCAGCACTGCCAGGAGGCAGTGCAGCAGTTCTGGGCCTCTTCCTGTGCCTGGAACCTTGGGGTCAGCAGGACCCAGTGAGAGAGGTCACCAGCAAGATGCCCACTGTAGGCTGGGCCACCTGAGTCCCGAGGGCTGGTGGCCAGGGGCTGACACCCTTCCTTGCATATTACAAGGGAGGGAGCACAGGAGGGAGGGCCAGGAGGCAGGAGGAGCCACTCTGCACCCTGAGCAATCGGTCTTTTGTGAGGCACCAGCTGGCAGCCCCTCCCATCCTCTCCTTGACTGAGTCAGCACCCGCTTGGCCCTCGGGGGTGCTGGGAAAGACACTGCCCATGGGACATGATTTCTGAGATCTAGGACTCACAGAGGGTATTGGCAATAGGGCTAAGGTCCTCGCGCCTCTGCCCAGGGATGGCCACATGGGCCTGCAGCTGCAGGAGATGGCAAACACTGGTATGTTGGAGCACCCGCCGGACGGGGCCAGGCCATGGGGATCCTGTTTGCATGAGCCATGTGGACATTCCCTGCAGCTAACTGGAAAGTGAAGGCCGCTATGGGGAGGGTGCCTGGGGCCCCTTGGCCGTCCAGGCGGCCCTGGCCAGGTGGGGCCACGCACCATATAGTAGCCGGGCAGCAGCTTCTGCAGGAACTCAGCCTCCTTGTGCATGACTGTCTTGATAATGAACTCGTCGTCGCTGGTGACGTAGAAGAGTGAGCCGCTGGCACCAGGGTTGGACAGCTCGATCAGTGGCTCGTTGCACAAGGAGTACTGGAAGGCAGGGTGGGGCAGTGAGTGGCCTGGGCTGAGTGACACTAGCTTCTGCTGCCAGGCCACCTTGAAATTCTAAGAGTCAGTTCCATCTTACAGATGGGAACCAGAAGCTCAAAGAGGGGCGGTAACACGCCCTGGGTCACACAGTGAGGACTAGAGTCCAGGGAAAAACACTCTGGGGCCTGAATGCTGACCAGGTGGCCTCTGCTCTCTGACTAGTAACACCTGACAGTTTTGGGGTGCTGACGCTGAGCCGTGCTCTCAGCTTCCCTAGTAGCCATGTGGTTACCACATCAGCTCCGCTCAGTGGATCATGAGCAGACAATGGGTTGGGGGCACCAGGGATCAGACAGCTGGAGCACCTGCTTTTCTGCCCTCTCTTATTTCTTACCTGGGACCCTCATGTCACAGCTGGAACCCAAGTAGGCACTCTAGCCATGAGGTGGCTTCCAGGATGGGATTTCTGCACTAATGACAGCAGACAGAGAGCAAGAAGGGGCTGCATGTCTGATGCACCCACACCCAGGGCCCTGCTCTGATGCTCACTCCCCACTCTCTCCCTCACTTTCTCTCTTCCTCACTTTCTTTCCCACTGATCCTTAGGGTTCACCCTGGCAATCACTGCCTTGACTCCCCCACACGCTGGGGAGGATGCTGATGGTTGGGAGATGTGTGCAAGCAGCAGCCTTTGGCAGGTCTGGCCATCTGTCTGTCCTTTCTCCACCCACAGCCCCAAGCCACAAATATCCCCAGAAGACAAAGAAGCCCACGCCCAGCTCTGTAGCTCCCCCTGCAGGCAAAGGCCCTGTATCCCCAAATGGTCAGACAGCAGCACAGGGCAAGGAAGGGACCCGCTTAGGACTGTACTACGTCCCCATTTCTGAATTCCACTGAGGGCCACTAGGAGCCACTTCTCTACTGTCCCAAGTGAGGCCTAAGCAAAATAATCAGGTGACCCCACGTTTGCATCAGCTAAGGGTCCTTCTTGCCCCAAACCCCAGGAATGTCTGAGCCCCTTCTCACTGCCTGCAGAGCTTGTCAGAGCACTGAGAGGTATTTTCAAGGAGATGGGATAGAGAGAGGAAAAGTTGTGCTGGCTCCAGATGGCGGCTTGGGCACCTGCAGCAGGGTGCCACGGTTGGGAAGCTGGCCAAGTGGCATCCTTAGTTCTAGAGTCCTCAGGGATCCAATGACCCCACCTGGAGCACAAGCTGTTTCTCTCTGGAGGAACATGGCTTCAGGTAGGACATGGGCTTCCCAGAGCCTAGGGTGGACCAAATATGAGTGTGCAGATGAGGAACACCAAACCACAAGGAGCCAGCATAAAGTCAGCAGGACTGAGCTCCCACCCTCTGCTGTCCTGTGGATGACTGTCCTCCAATGCCTCTGTGTGGAAGGCTTGCCCACAGGTGGCATTAGAAACCTCTAAGGGGCAGAGCCTAACGGGGGAAAGTTAGGTCCGACTGCACTAGGCCAATGGGACACCAGCTAATGGGAGAAGGCCGTGCCCTTCTCTTTCCCTCCCTTCTCCTGCACTGATGGTGATGTGAGTGGCCTGCTCCACCACACGCTTGGGCCATGATGCACCTCCTCGCCACAGGCCCAAAGCTTGGAAAACTGTGAGCCCAAGTCAACCTCTTCTCTGTAAGGTGACAATCCCAGGCTTTTGCTAGAGTGATGGCAAGCTGACTACCACTGCCCCCCAGACTCAGATGCAGTCTGTCCAATAACCAGACACGCAACCTGTGGATAGAGCACTCTCCCTGGTGGGAAGTCATCAATGACCAGGAGGAAGATTTGGAGAATGAGTGTTCAGAAGTGGATTCTTTGCTGGGCAGGTCTCACTGGAGCCCCAGACTCAAGCTGTCCACGACACGGAGCATAGAGCCCAGCTGAGCTGCATCCAAACTCTAGCCTCAACACACTGGAGAGACCATACCCAGGCACTGTGTTACAGGGCAATAAATGACCAATGTGCTTACCAAATAATCGTCTGGCCGGATCCCAAAGAGCTCCCGGAAGTAGCGGAAGGCAACGGGTGCATAGGTCTTGAACCGGAAGTCCTGGAAGTGGTGGGCGGGGGTGAGGTTGCTGCCTTCACTGCAGAGGAGGACGCAGGGGGATGTCTGTGAGGGTGGTAGCTTTTGGGGGCACCTCTCCCCATCTGTCCCAACACTCAACTGTACAAATAACTCAGGGTTCCTGCTGGGATAAGGGCACTATGGCCGGCTTCGAGCTGAGCCCCAGTGACCACTCTTCCTTCTGTCATTAGTGAGGGAGCCCTCAGTGAGCACTGCCAAGAATAAGACAACACTGCCCAGCCTCTCTTGCAACTAGGTATGGTCATGCAGCTGCCACTCAGCTAATGAGATGCAAGCAGAGCAGAAATGATGTTATTTCCTGGTTGTGTTCTTTTCCTCCTTCCTGCTGCTGGAGTGGAGATGTGATGGCAGGAACTTGAGTAACCACCAAAGACTGTTAATTTCAGAAGCCTCACTGAGGATGGTGAAGCAGAGCAACTAAAAGGAACTTGCCCCCCTCTTACCCCCACCCAACACCATGGAGCCACCTAACCAACCATGGGTTGACTGCAGGTATTTACCTATTATTTTGTTTTACTGGGATTTGAACTCAGGGCCTCATGCTTGTTAGCTGGCGCTCTACGTTTGAGCCACACTGTTAGCCCTTTTGCTTTTAGATTGTTTTTCAGATTAGGTCTCCTGCTAACTCTGTCTGGGCCTGACCTTGGACCACGATCCTCCTTCCTCCATCTCTTGAGTAGCTGAAATTACAGGCATGGACCACCATGAGTTTTTAAATATTTTTTTAAGTGGAAAGTGGGAGAGTTTATTGAGATAGAGAAGTATAAAGTGGAGCTGGGCGCCAGTGCCTTGTGCCAGTAATCTTAGCTACCCAGGAGGCAGAGATCAGGACAATCATGATTGTGGTTCAAAGCCAGCCTGGGCGAATAGTTCATGAGACCCTATCTCGAAGAAACCCATCACAAAAAAGGGCTGGGGGAGTGGCTCAAGTGGTAGAGCACCTGCGTGACGCCCTGACTTCAAACTCAGTGTCACCAAAAAAATTAAAAAAGTGAATTTAAAAAAAAAATAAAAAATAAGTGTAAAGTGGGAGAACAGAGTCCCCAGAGTTGGGGGGAGGGTCCCAAGAGAGAGTGCCCCCCTTGCTTTGAGATAGGGTCTCATGCTCATCTTTGCCTGGGCTGCCTTCAAACTGTGACCCTCCTGGCTTCACCTCTCAAGTAACTGTGACCACAGGCCTGCCACCTCGCCTGGCTGCCTATGGCAATCTACAGGTGAGAGAAAAAGGAACTCCTATCCTTTTTCTTTCCCATTTTGTAAAAACTTGCTGTTATACTGACTGAGGCTTGATTCAGCAGTGAGGCAATACTGTGATTAATGGAGGATTGGAACCCAAAGCCACAGAGACACAGATGGGACCTAGTGCTGTTTTGGGTAGGTGCTCAGGGGAGGCTGCCGTTCTGTGTGGGGAGCACATTCATCTACTGGGCGAGGGCCTCTGCTGATGCTGCCAGGACCAGGGCCTACCTGGGGAAGAAGATGCTCTCCACAACATAGAAGTCCTGCATGAGTACGTCGCGCTCTGGCTTGGAGCTCAGGTTGCCTACAGTGTAGCCAATACCCAGCTGGATGGCGCCCTTCAGGGTGGACGAGGTGGTCTGCAGGAGAAACCAGTGGCATCAACACCTCAGGCTGCTCCCCGTACCCCTGGTGTGCTGGGCTGAAGCTGGAGCCCAGCATCTGCAAGGTGTTGCCTGAGGCCCTAGGGCGTGACCACTTTCCAGAATGGTGGCTTGCTCCGCTGCAGCCATGTAGGGCAGAGGCCCAGGCTGCAATGGGGAGGCCACCCTGCAGTCATACCACGAGGCAGGAGCCTGGCCTGATGTTCCCAGGCTCCAGAGCCTGTTTTCTAGCTAGGTTCCAGAAAGTTCTCTTGGTGGGGATCAATTTGCTGTCAGAGTTTTGTTTAAAACAGGGATAGTTTAAGAGTGATGTCTGGGGGGTGGAGGCAGGGGGGAGAAATGACCCAAGCCTTGTATGCACATATGAATAATAAAACAATTAAAAAAAAAAGAGTGATGTCTGAATTACTTTCATTCCCTACACCAGAATTTTTTTTTTTTTTTGGTGGTACTGGGCTTTGAACTCAGGGCCTTGTGCTTGCTAGGCAGGCACTCTACCACTTGAACCAGGCCCCCAGTTCTTCTTGTTCTAGTTATTTTTCAGATAAGTTCTCACATTTTTGCCCCAGGAAGGTCTGGGAACAGGCTCCTCATACTTACATCTCCTGCATGGATGGGCACAACACCACACCCAACTTATAACTGAGATGAGGTCTCACTACCTATTTTGCTCGGGGCTGGCCTTGAACCACAATCCTCCTGATCTCTGCCTCCCAAATAGATGGAATTACAGGTGTGAGCCCGGACCTGGCCCTTCTACCTGATTCCTAGGTGACTGTGTCATGTTGGTGAGGAGCACTGTCTGTGCAGTGTTGAGTGTCCCTCCTGAGGCAGCTGTTACAGGTCGAGTCAGGGGCTTGGGCCAAGGCCTGCACGTTTTGAGCATATACTGTTTTATGACTGCTATGGTGGACATTACTGTCACTGTGTATTCTGAGCCCCGTGTTTACTTGAACCCTGGGAAGACTCAGTCCCTGGTCCGCAGCTCTGTGGTCACCATGCCAGGCAGCAGTTTTAGGCTTTGCCACCACAAGAGCAGACCTTCCTCTCTTGCTCAGGACATCCAAGCCACACTATGGAGGGCCCACCGGCCTGGATGCCCATCTGCCTCCCTCACATGCTATCTGCTGAGTCGATGCTGTCCAGACAAGAGCCCCTAGGTTGGCTGTAGAAAGATGTTCACCCCTGAGGTGCCCAGGACAAGCAACCAGAACCAAGAGACGATTCCATGTCACACCCACTCAGATGCTGGGGTCAGGACGGACGACAGTCAGTGTTGGGGACAGTGGGGGAAACGAATCCTTGCACACAGCTGGTCTGGAGGTGGCACGGCACAGCTGCCAGGAAAACAAGCTAGAAGTTTCTCACAGTGTTGAACACAGAGGCACCATATAACCCACAATTCCTCTCTTGGGTGTATGGCCAAAAGAAATACAAATACACATCTAAGCTAGGCGTGGTGGCCATGCCTGTTGTCCCAGCCCTTGGGAGGCTGAGACAGGAGGATCAGGAGTTCCAGGCCAGTCCAGGCTACACAGCAAGACCCTGCCTCACAAAACAAACAAACAAAAAATAAAAAACAACAACAATAAAAATCTGCCCAGAGATTTTTTTGGCTCAGTGGCGAGCACTTCCCTAGCATGTGTGAGGCCCTGGGTTCATCCCCAGCACCAAAACCGAACCAAAACTAAACCTAAAACACACATTCACACAGAAATTTGTACATAGATGTTCATGCCAGCATCACTGATGGACATTGAGCAGGAACTGCCTAAGTGGACATCAACAGATGAGAGGGCCCAGTGTGGCCCTCCACACACGGGAGCATCATGCAGCCAAGAACAGGACAGGGCTCTGAGCCCACATCACAACATGCAAGCACCTTCAGGACACCGTGCTCAGTGAGAAGCAGGTACAAAAAGCCCTACAGCCAGTGATTCCATTGTCAGGAAATGTCCAAAATAGGGGAAGTCACAGACAGGAAGTAGACTCATGGGTGATGGGGGCTGGGGATGGGATGACTGCTTTTGGGATGGGGCTTTCTCTTGGGTGACGGAATGTTCTGGAACCACAGAGGTTTTGCACACCTCTGAGAATGCACTAAAAAGCACTGGTCACACACTTTAACAGGGTGCATTCTGTGGCGTGTGAATTCTATTTCAGCAAAGCTGTTAAGTTTTTCTAAATACAGTCACAGCTAGGGTAGGGGCAGTGGCAGTAGGTCAGGTTTCAGAGTGTCCCGCCTGCTGTGTGAGGCCATGGTGGGTGAGCTGTAGCTGCTGGCTCTCAGGAGGGGGCACCAGGGGCTCAGGAGCCGAGGCACAGCCACAGTCACTGGTACCTTCACCAGAGCACCCGCCTCTGGCCCACATGCTGAGAGCCAGCTCCTGACCCAGTGGGTCCCATGTGTGTGTAGGGGGAGTGCAGCCAGGCCTGAAGATCCCTGGGAGCCCCACCCTGCCCATCCAGCTGGCCAAGTGCAGAAAAGGCACCTTCTTGTAGGTGGTCTCGCCAGATGCGTCCACGCCTCGGTGGCCCAACTTCTTCCCATGGCCAGGGCCTGGCTGTCCAGTCATTGACGGGGCCTGGGGAGGAGGAAGCAGGAGGTGTTAGGCCAGTGAAGACACCAGAGGCTCTGCAGTCCTGAGAGAGGGGCTTGGTCACCATGCCCAGATGGGATCCGGTGCTGTGTGTGGGGCCAGTGTGGTGATGCCAGAGTGAAGCAGAAGGTCTGTCACCTGCAGAGTCCCAGCAGGTGGGAAGTATCCAAAGTGGATGTCCACAGGGCTCACAGGAAAGCAGGGAGGTTGGCCGGTCCCAGTCCACCTGTCAGGGTGGAAGGGCCTTGCACCATAGCCACTGCATGACACTCTGTGGGGCTTTGCGGGCCCTGCAGGTGCTGAGCAGTGTTTCTGCCCTCCACCCACTCCATGCCAGGAGCTCCCCAGTTGTGATGACAATGTCCCAGGACATGGCCCAGGGTTTCTTAGGGGAACCTGGCTGGGCAGGCTGTGGGGGATGGCACGGACACCCCAGAAGATGAGGGGGGAGCTACTGACCACCCCCATACAAGTACACAGGCTGTCCCTCCTGGCGAGAAGAGGGACAGATGCCAACAGGAGACAAGGACCAAGGTTGCTATGTAGATGGGGGGTGGGGCCCCTGCTACCACTGACTTCCATGAAAAGCCCACTGTGTGCCAATTTGGGGAGCCCCTTGGGGAGGCCCCCCTACCCCCCTAGTCAGCTAGCTGCACTTCCCCTGTCCTCAGATGCCCTGGTTCCAGTCCCATCTGCTCCTCCATACAGGATTCTACTTGGTGGGTTCTAGCAGTTCTCAGCAGTGGCCACCAGGGGGCGGGATCCTCCTGGACCGCCACATCCATCCACCTCTACACCCCTGAAGCTGAGTGCGCCTCCCTCCTGCTGCCCCACTGGCCCTGAGGTTACCCAGGGACTGCTCCCTGTACAAGGGATGAGGAGAAGAATCCCCGGCCAGGTGGACAAGGCCCTCCCAGCTCAGTGTGGACACAGGAGGCCCAGAGAGATCCTGGGGTTGGTGGTGCTCCAAAGAGCAGATCAGATGGACACTGCCATCAGCTCCTGTGGAGTGGGTGTCAGGGATGCAGAGACCTGGCTCCTGATCTGGCCCCAACTGGGCCTCCCTGGCATCATCCTGGAAATGGGGCACAGATGCCCCACAGCAATTTCCAGCAGCGACCCAGAAACCACACAGCTCTGCTTCCCTCGGGTAGTGACTGTCCCCAAGCTGGGACAAGCAGCGCTGGTACCCACTGGGCTGACCCAGGGCTGCACACCGTTGGCAGTGAGTGACCCAGAAGCACTGTCAGGGCAGGGCCCCAGGAGGGGAGAAGATGGGGGAAGGGGTGGTAGGGACCACGTGCGTGTGTACACAGGGACACTAATCGTGCTCTTGGGTGGAGGACATGGGTCTGGCTGACCACCTTGATATCAAGTTCTTGGCTAGTGTCCTCCAGCAACATCCCCGGTGTCCTGCACCCACTTGGAGTGCGGGCTGTGCCCAGTTTCATCTGGGGTGACCCTGAAGGGCTGAGTTTTAGCGTGAAATCTGTGGCCCAGCCACCCTGGGCCACACATTCATTCCACCCAGCCTGCCAACGTGTTCTTCTGTCCCTCTAGGTCACCTCCACATCTGGGACCATTCGCAGTCCCCAGGACCGTTACAGAGCTCCCCCCGCAATTGCTGAATTCTGCCCCCACAACTGGAGGCCAGCAGGACGGATGGAGCATTTACCCTGCCTGACAACTCTCACTGCCCGGAGAGGCGCAGTGAATTGCTGGAGGACACACAGCAGCCAGAGATTCTCTTGGGCAGCTCAGATGCCTTCTCCCTTCTCTGTCTTGTCACTGAGGCTGGTCAGGGTGGGGTCCCTGACCTTTTGCCCCCCCCCCAACCCGACGACACTCACCTCAGTTGGGGCTGTCTTCTTCTGAGCCAGTTCTGTGAGAGAGAAGGAGAGGTTTCAGCCTGGAGATGCTCCATGGCTAGCCCGCACCACCAGGGCCACAGCCAGGGGTCCAGCCCAGCCTGTGCTCCCCTCCCTCACAGGCTCCATGAGCCAGCATGTGCAGAAGGTGCTGGAAGATGGCCTCTTACAGAACAATTCATGGCGTGCACCTGGGGTGTAGGGATGGGAGAGGAGAGAAGGCAGGAAACCAGGAACACAGAACTGGAACGTCCTAGACCTCGTGGAGGGGCCAGGAGCTGCAGCCCACGGCCGCTCCAGCAGCAGACTTGGTGGCCCCCAAGGCTGTGGGTCCTGCTGTGTGGCGCTGACCCCACCCGGTGGCCTGGTCCTGCGTCCTCTCACCCACCAGGCCCACGGGGGACACCTGGGCTGCTGATGCCCGGCCCACACTCTGCCCACAGTGTCCTCCTGGTGAGCAGGCAGGGGCCGCATGTCTTGGTGGCCCCAATACTGGCTGTCACGGTGCGGGCCTCCTCCCAGCCCAAGGCACGGGCAACATCTTCTGAATGAGCCGCCCCACGTTGGAGGAAATTGAGTTTAAAAATAGCCAAGGAAGGAGGACAGGCAGGCGTGCCACAGAGCCAAGCCATGCAGAACCCACATCTGCCAGGAGGGCCTGGGTGGGCGGGGACGCCGTGGGCATCCGACCAGGGTGACCTAGGATCTAAGGGTGACCTCTGTTATTCTGGCTCCCCACCAGTGAGGGCCAGGCAAGGATCCCTTGGCATTCAAGCCAAACTCTGCTACCCCACTGCTGTGTGACCTTAGGCAAGTCCCTGCACCTGTCTGAGCAGCTTTTCTCTGGCAGCTCATTCAGTACCCAAAGCCAGGGTTTAGATGCAGGAGGCTCTGTCTTTGACCCACCTTAGGACCTGATGGTGACCCAAGCCAGCCACATGCTGCTCTCATGGCATCCTGCACGGCTCTTACCTGCTCCACTTTGAGCCCTGAGGTCTCTGTAAATTGTGCCCAATGACTGGGCACAGAAACTCTTAAAGCCACTGTCTGCTCCAAGTCACTCAGCTGATTCCAGTCCACGTCTGGCCTTCAACCTGTGCTCCTGCCTGCATGCTCTAGGCCATCTTCTCTGTCCTGTCAATGCTGCCCCATCCTGCAGACCCCATTCTGGTGCCTCCTGGGTGGGCCTAACACCCACAAATGTTTGCTGACCGACTGACTGATGGATACCCGTTATCTTTCTCTGCACAACAGGTCTCCATAGGAACCACTTCTTCACAACTTGCTGGATGTGGAAACTGCGGCAGGGAGCCACTGTACTGGAGCACATGCCTTTTACACCCCCAGTGACCAGTGAAGAAGGCAGTGCTAGGTGAATATGGTCCTCAGGCCCAAAGCCAAAAACACAGAGGGGCCTGGGTGGCAGGGTGGAAGAGGAAGGAGCTGAAATTTAAAGGAAACAGAAACTGCAGGCTAGGCCAAGGCTCTGTTGGAGACAGCAGCAGCAGTGGGTGGGGAAGGTCCTGTTTACCATGCTCCTGCCCCTTGACTGTGGACAGTGCTGGTAGGGAGACTGGGGCCAAGAGGTCAGTGGGTGTGGGAGGGGTGCCTTCCAGGAGGGGAAGCCACATGGAGGAGGAAGCCACCGCCCACAATGAGGAAGTGCACAGACCATGCGGGTAAGAGAGGTGGCTGGTGAGGCTGGGGGGGAGGGGCACAGGGCGGGGCAGGGAGGGTGGGAACGAGAACCCACTCAGCCAGCCTCTGACAAGACTGTCCATCTGTCTCACTCTAGACCTGCCCATTTGGTCATGTCATTTCCCTTACCAGATCCCACCACATACCCGTTTCCCCTCCTCCTCTTCTCTCCCCCTCGCTCCCTCTGCTCTAGCCCATTGGTGTCCTTGCGGCTCCTCCAATATGCCAGGCCCCAGGGCCTTTGCACAGACTGTGCCTTCTGCCTAGAGCTGCTTCCACCAGACCCCTGAAGGTTTTGCTCCCTTGCTCAGCAAGACTTGGCTAAAACATCACCTCCTCAGTGAGATCAGCACTGACCACCCTCATCCTCTTTCTAGCACGCTTCGTGCTTGCTGTGCCCTGGCTGCGAGGGCAGCTCTCCCAGTGTCAAGAGGAAGAATGCCCACAAGAAAGGGGTAGTGGGGCCAGAGGCTGCTCTGAACAGCACAGGGGACTGTGCCCTGGCTGAAGTCACTGCTCAGGGGGTTGGACACTGGGTGCCCCAGGACAGGGAGTGGTCACCGTGACTCAGACCCAAGAAAAGAACACAAGGACAGACCAGGCACACAGGGCCTATGATCCTGCAAAAGCAAGAAGTTGGGCCAGGCCCCCCTGCACACTTATGTCCCTGATCTGCTAGAACGATCTGTCTTTTGGTCTCCCACTGCATGGGCCTCTGACCACAGGAGCAGCTGCGGGAGGCGCCAGTCCAGGCCCAAGCCGGACACCACGTTCCTAAGCCATACTTGAGAACCTTCTTTCGCTAAGTTACAAAAGGGATCCCGTGGCCATCTGCAGAAGACCCAATGCCAAGTGGCCATGTGATTGGCTCTGTCCACAGACGGGACAGTGTGCACCTTAGATCCTAGCAGGACGAAGGCTACAACCTTGGGGAGCCCTGATTCCCACATTCCAGAGGTGGCTCTGGCAGAGACCACATGGGCACAGCAGGCCCGGGCAGCCCCAGTGCGGGTGATGGACACGTGCACGCAGAAGCCTCCTTTGGAGTCAGTACCTCCCCCCTCCCCCTCCTGCTGACCACAGCCCCAGGTGAGACCTGTGGAACCTCCCAGTAAACACAACCAGGACCATAGCACTGCAAGGAAAGACACAGGTGCTGAGTAGAGGCAGCAGGTGGGGCTGTGTGTCACACAGTACTAGCTGACTGAACCAGGGGCTGTGACAAGGCAGAGAGCGTTCCAGCAGAAGTGCTGGGACCTGTGAGCAAGGACTCCTTGGGCGCTGAAGATTCCGCTTCTTACTCCTCTGTCCAGGGGAGATTTCCCATGTTCAGAGAAGCATGAAGAGGGTTGGGAGCGCAGCACAAGTGGCAGCACCCTTGCCCAGCATGCAACAGGTCCTGGGTTTGATTCCCAGTTCTGCAAAAAAAAAAAAAAAAAGTATACATATATGCAGAAAAGCATGAAGTAAATCTACATTACTCTCACAGAACGAGGCTCTGACCCATGATACAACACGGAGGGACCTCGAGAACACGGTGCTCAGTGAGAGAAGCAGACACACAAGCACCCAGCGTGTGACTCCATTGACAGGACAGGTCCACAGCAGGAGAATCCAGAGACAGGAGGTGGACTTCTGGTGCCAGTGGCAGGGGAGGGGACAGGGTGACTGCTCATAGGAATGGAGCGTCTTTTTTGGGGTGATGGAATGTTCTGGACCTAGGTAAGAGGTGGTGACTGCACAACTCTCTAAATATACCAAAGACCATTACAGACTTTAAATGAGTGAGCTCTATGGTATATACATCTCTCAAATGGGAAAAAAAAGGTCTGGGTGCAGTGGCTCATGTCTGTAATTCCCAGCTACTTGGGAGGTGGAGGCAGGAGGATCACTGGTTCAAGGTCAGCCCAAGCAAAGGCAGTAAGATGCTATTCCCAGAACAAAATACAGCAACAGAAAATAGGCTGGGGCCTGGCTCAGTGGTGGTGCTCACCTAGGATACAGGAGGCTCTGGGTCCATCCTTGGCCCCCAAAAGAATGCAAATTTCTGGAGATGCAAAGACTGTGCAATGTTGCATACCATCCAGAACTTTCCACAGACTCCTTTTCCCTCAGAGAACTCGGGCTCTCAGTCTCCTTGTCTCCAGAGGGTCAGCACGTGGTGAGGAGACCTCTGACCTCCAGGGGGGCAGTCTGTCCCCAGAGCAGCGCACCTCAAACCCTCTGAGGCCCAGGACTTCTATAATACGGACAGCCAACATCACATGGTCTGAGCTGTCCGTGCACTGGGCACACATGGGCACTGTCACGTCCTACTGCCCCCTCATCTCAGATGGCAACAAACGCATTTGCCCACAGTGACCCCATGCGACCATGCCTCGGGCCACTTTCTCCTAAGTGCACTGACCATTTGGGGCCTCCAGCACTATGCACACCAGGCCAGGTTGTTCTCTGTGGGACATCCCAGGCCCTGCAGACTGCTGTGCAGTTCTCCTACCCTCCACCCACTCCATGCCAGGAGCTCCCCAGTCATGATAGTTACAAATGTCCCTAGAGTCACTCAGGGTCCCCTGGGAGCAAATGAGACATTCTAAAAGGCAGGAGAGCAACGATTTAAGGCCCTGTGGTGTCTGGGAGCCAGGCCTGACCTTCCTGTGCAGAATGTCATCCTGGCCCGGCCGGGTAGGTAGCCACTACTGAAAAGATGTTTTATGGATGAGGTTCAGGGAGGCTAGAGGACCGATAACCGCCAGTGAGAGCCCGTGGAAGCCAGGGCTCCCAGCCCCCAGCTTACTTTTGGTGGGGCAGCCCTTGCCTTCCCCCACTTTGGGACGGGTGGAGCCCTGGTCCCAAATGCTCACCTCTCACCAGCGGCCGCCCTGCAGTTCGCAAAGGAATGGCCCAGCTGGGCTTCCTTCTGGCTCTGCAGTGTTTGTTTAAGGTGAGTCAACAAGAAAAATCACAGTTTTCTGGAAAGAAAGCTGGAGTTCTTGAAAAACAAGCAGATCTACAAATGAAAGGCAGCACCATTCGCCTGCCTGGCGCCTGCTAGGTCCAGCACAGTCACCTCCTCCACCCATCCTACCACACTGGCCAGGGGCACCTGTGGGCAACCCAATCCAGTCACCACTGAGTCTAATTCTCTCTTCATTGAGGCCATTTTATAGGAGATGTCTGAGTTACTCAAAGTCACAGGCAAAAACCTCCCGATCCAGAAAAGCCTCTGACAAAGGTCAACATGAACTTCATGACACAAAAGCTATAAAAGGATGGGACTGGGGTGAAGTTTAGTTCAGTGGAAGAGCACTCGCATAGT